TACGCCATTGACTCATGTTATTTTTGGCAACTGCCAATGCCCAAGATAGCCGCCCTCCTCCAAAGACACTCATGGACATAGCCTTGAGCCTGTCCAGGATCTCCTCGAGCATTACTCTTGTACACTTTGCTGCTACCACTATGGGGTCCTGATGAGGTGTTCGAAAGACAAGTTGGCCCAACCGCTTTGTTTCAGTCCCGTCCAAAGCCACAAAACCACCCGTTGCGTTGTATGCCGCCACGTACAATGTCGACACATTTAATTACTTATATTATATTTTTTATTATAGAATATTTATTTTTCATTATAGAATAAACTTTAAAAACTTCAGTTGTTTCGTTGTTGTACTTACTCTTACGATCGATGCGGTCGTTAACAGGCTTCTTCACGGTGTATACGGTTCATCTCATGTTTTTAGAACTTTTCGCTTTTCAGACACATTTTTCACGTTAAATGATGCACCGAATTAATCACTCAATGAATTCATAAAGTTAGCCATTTCTTGTAGCTTCGATTCCATAGGATATTGAGCTCGATATTCGAATCATTTAAAATTAATTCACCGATTGTTGGAGGCACACTGAACTTGAACGTTAAGTTGGAGAGGTCTCGTCTAGTGAAGTCAACGCTCTGTCCCCATCGTGCGCTAATCCAGGGTCCCGAAAACCTTCAGCTTGAATTACAAAACCGTTTTTAGTGCCTAGAAGAGTGCAATACAGTGGACGATATGAATAACAAGTTCGTGGAAACTATCCATGCGGTCGGAGCTAAGTTCTGCAAGACCCGCCGCAGAAGAACACAAAATCTCTTCGATCACACTCTTAATCTCATGGATGTTAGACGGGTGATGAAGCTGCAGTCGTCAGCAGATTCGACAGCCTACAGGCACCTGAACAGACAGATGTCCAAATGCATGCGGCAGGACTTACGCAACTTCAATACACCTCGTATTGAAGGCTCCAAAATCTTTGCCAGAGATTTGTCTGCCAGTACGAGCCAACTGTCTCAGTCTCAGTCGTCAGCTTTGCTGAAGACTGAGTGTGGCAGCATCGTTTCCGGGACACCTGAGATTCTGAGTGAGATTGAGAGGTTCTATGGGCAGCTGTACACATCATTGTTGGAGCCACACGCAAGTTTGAGTAACGATCCAAGAGCAAGTCTTATCCGACACTACTCCGATGATATCCCGGACAGTCAGTCTGAGCGAGATTAGCATGGCTCTTCAGCACCTTAAAAACAGTAAGTCCCCGGGCGAGGATGGAATTACAGCGGAGCTTCTGAAAGCGGGTGGAAAACCGGTACTTGAAGTCCTTCAGAAGCTCTTTAATTCCGTCTTCCATGGAAGCACTACTCCCGAGGCGTGGACCACAAGTGTGGTGGTCTTGTTCTTCAAGAAAGGTGACAACGCCCCTTGAAGAATTACAGACCGATATCCCTTCGAACCGTCTCGCACGCAGACTCGACGAATTCCAGCCGCCCGAACAAGCTGGTTTCCGAAAAGGCTTTACTACCAGTGTATGTTGCCAGTGAGGATCACGGAACCGAGACGTGGTCCTTCACTGCTGGCCGTATGAGGACGCTCAAAGTCACTCAGCGGACTATCTATAGCGAGCTATAGTAGGAGAGGTCTATGCTCGGAGTTTCTTTGCGTGATAAACTTCGAAATGAGGAAATCCGCAGTAAAACCAGAGTGACCGACATAGCCCAACTGATTAGTAAGCTGAAGTGGCAATGGGCCAGCCATATAGCTTGAAGAATCGACAACCGTTGGGGAAAAAAGGTTCTCGAGTGGCAGCCTCGTACTGGTAGGCGAAGTGTAGGGCGACCCCCTACTAGATGGAGTTATGACCAGGTAAGACATGCAGGAAGTCGATGGATGCAGATGGCTCATGACCGTGCTTTGTGACATACCTTGTGGGAGGTCTATATTCAGCAGTGGACTTGTGAATGGCTGTAATGATGAATTATGATGATGAAAATTAATTTCAATACCGAGTTTCTCTATTATACGGCTCACTAAATCAGGTGAGCACAAATACTGCGGTTGCTACGCTAGCATTGACGCAACCATATTCAAAACATGACTACCGAAATTGCCAATATTTCTACCATCTTAGATGCTCTTTACATACTCTATTTTGAATAGAATGAGCATCTCAACTCTACCGAACCCCCTTTTCGAGCGCGTTCATAATCTTATCAAGGCAAACATTAATGATCTTACCGCTTCCTTAGCGGTGCCTCTTAACATTTGCACTTAACTTTTCTGTGGTTAACAGAAGTATGGTTAAAAGGATTTACTGCTAAATCATTAGGGCTTACCAGTAAACTATAAGTCATAGATATAGTTCACTGCTAAGCCTTATTATTTCATTGAATAGAACGAGTTGCTTAGCTTTGAGCAATTTCTCTTCTTCTGGACGGAGTACATAGTTTCCCAGATGATTGCTACGTTTGCGCATTAAAGTTTTGCAATCAGTTAGGATGTGCAAAAGCATTTCTTCCGTTATGGAACAGAACCGACACATCCTTAAGTTGCTTAGTCCCAGGATGGACATGTGTTTTTTAAGACAACAGTGTCCAGTTAGGGCTCTTGCCAGAATGCGCAATTTATTTTTGCTTAATCCCAGGGCTTCTGAAGCGAATTTACGATCAAAAATCGAGATTTAAGCCTGGTACGTCAGACCCGGTCTTAAGTGATTTACTGTGATAAAGAGTTTCAAGGGTCAATCGGGCTAGGCTTTTTGAGATTCTACAAAATGGCTCAGGTCAAAATTGTTTACTCTTTGAGCATTCCCGTGCGAGTTTATCGGCAAGTTCATTACCTACAATACCCGCGTGACGCGGAACCCATCTTAAGACGCCCTTGTTATTATATCCCGGGGCGTTTAGACGGTTCACGCGGTCTCAAACTAGCCTCGAGTTTACTAAGTTTAACCTCAGCACTAGCAGTGCTACTTGACTATCAGAGTTTATATAGTAATGGTGAACGTAGTGCTTTTGCAGGTTGATTTGCGCATACTGAAGTATGGAGAAAATTTCTGACTGGAATACAGAGGTTGGGGCTTTCCCCATAGATTCCAAAGCCTATCGATTCGAGACCCCTTTTTAATCCATCGGTATGCCATATGAGGCTACCGATCTCAGAGATGACCTGGCCGTTCAGCTAGTCTTCTCTGGAGAGTAGTTCCACTATATATTTTTTATTACAAGTGTATAGTGGACGCATGATATCTGAAGTCATGCATAAGGCCAGTGTTTCCTTAATTGAGTAGAGTATGGATCTCAATCTGTAGGAAAGCAAGTTCAAACCGCCCTACACGTTGATCCTTTACAAAATAGCCCTCGCCTTCTTCTCTAGGTAAAGATCAAGGGGTGTTAGGCATAGAAGTGCATTAAGAGCCAGCGATGATCGCATAGCTCCAGTTGCCATTAAGTAGACTGTCCTTTGTAGACTATTTAGTCTGACCGCAGTCGTCTTTTGATTGACCTTGTTGCGCCAGACAATGTGTAAATCGGCCTCACTATACTGCTGGATAGCCATAGGATTATAGTGCGACGCTAGCCCCAGTTGTTCCTGACCAAACGACTGCACGTACCTAAAGCAATTTTTTCCTTATGGCATACGTTGCTAAGGTAAAAGTTCGACGTTGGTTTCTCGTCGATTGTTACGCCCAAGTACTTAACTTCAGTAGAGATTATACTTCTTTACCGTTGAGTTTTTATGTGAATAATTTGGTTCAACCGTCTCTTTTTGGTAAAGGGTATAGTTTACGCTAAATCATAACTCTTGAAACTTGCAAGGTGCTCGTATCGGGCGAGGAACCGGTTTGCGCGGGAGGGGGGCGTTCGCTTTGCGCCTACGGCGCTGCCAGCGGGTCTAGTCTAGTAGAATCTTTGTGCGCTACGGCCGTGCCAGTTTAGGTCGCGAAATTAGTCTAGAATATTCGACTGTACGCGACGGCCGTATCGATTAGAGGTCGCGAGTTACATAAGAATTGTTACGTCGCATTTCGACGGCCTCCTTTGTGTTGTCTTATTTAGTTAATATACGTGACAACGAGGCTTTCGTTGAGTTGAGTGACTAATGTAACTTCTATTGCCATTAATTTGCGTCGACGTGTGGCTTGTGTAGTAATTTAATATCGTACGAAGGAAATTTGCTTTGTCGGTTGAACGTTAAACTTTGTGATCCGGGTGGAGATCGCGTCCGATTATAGTTTGTGCTAAGAGACGTTATACTTGAGTTCCGATAGCGGTGAGCGCCTTGTGGAGTGAGCAACGCATGTGGTTCTGCTGAACGATTACCTCGGTGACGTCAGGTTACATTACACACTTTCCTACACCACTCAAACATACCATTTACTTACCCCTGACGGTGCCTTGTGGTCGACACTACCTCCGGAGCTCGGTAAGTTTAGGCCATAGGCCATTAGGGTCCTCCCCTCAGTTGCTCGTCGAGTTGGGTTACTATGGGCCCTAGCCCAGTCGACTTTTGTCAGGGTAACTGAGGGCCGTAACATTTTCTGGTAGCAGAGCGTTGTTGATTATTTCTCCAATCACGCCCGGCCGTAATATAATTTTTTTTTTGTTTTGTTAGTGGATCGGTGGTTAGAACCACGCCCGTTAGGCTGCGCAAGCAGGAGTGTAGTTTAGGGTTAGGTACCTACGCGTCAGGTATTTCGGGTAAGTAGATTAAATTGCCGAAGGGTCGGTTTCCTGAGCGAGGCATCTTTGCTGACCGACTGTAGTGTGTACTTCCTGAATATTGTGAACTCCTTGGTTATCTCAAGTGCTAAGTGTCTCTCTAAAATCTTAATAAACATTTTAGAAATCAACATTCATCTCCTACAGTGTTATACGGCCCTAATAGTTGTGTGTCTTGCGGCGAGTGCTTCGATAAAAATCTGTACAAAAGAGAATCTGCTGTGCTCTGTGCATCGAAAGTGAATCTGTGACATCCTGCCTGCTTATTAAACCCTAATACAAATCCAATAAAGATGCCACCAAAACGAACCCAGCCTCTCTCCCCCTCTACCTCCACTGCTACCCCCTCCTGCACCCAGTCTGTAACCGACCTTAGTGGTGTGCTTGATGGTGTGACTATCAGATCAAAGCGTCTTCGAGAGGAGGAGTGCATGACTGACTTCATGGGTGGCATGATGAACCTCCTGAGGGAATTCAAAAATGAGCAAAATCGAAAATTTGATGCCCTCCGGGATTCTATTTCCGGGATACAGGTACAGCAGAAAGAGAAGCTTAACTACTTACAGCAAATTACAGATGAAATAAGGAAGCAAAATGATGCTATTGATCTCGAGAATAACGAATTAAAAGAGAAAGTGCAAAAAATAGAAAGCACTGCTTACATACGTACCCTGGAGAACAAGATTGAGGTCATGGAGCGACAAGTTAGATGCTCAAGTATTGAGATTCGCAATGTGCCGGTGATGAAATCAGAAAGCAAAGAAGACCTTCTAAATATTGTACTGAGCATATCGACTGCCCTGAATGTAAAAGCCTCTGCTTCGGATGTATGTGATGTCTACAGAATCAACACAAAAATACCGTCACAGAAACCTATTATATGTAACTTAAATAGTATACTTATTAAGGAAAGGTTATTTTTCCTGGCTCGTGATTTTGCAAACTCCAATGATTATTCATTCTGCTGGGTAACCCATGAAAGAATATTTCTACGCAAAAGAGAGGGAGAAAACTTATACGCGTGAACTCTGAACTGGATTTAGCTAAGCTGGTAAATGTGAACAACTGACTATACTGTAGCATAATCTTACTTACTTTTTACATTAACCATATGTTCACGGTACTCAATATGCTTACATAAAACAATCAAAAACAATTACTCTTACACACACCCCACACATTATCACGACATAACATATATATTACACACTCATACACCTTCACTTCTGCCCTCAAACCAATAATCGTGTTGATACCTACTCAACTCAATATCACAACTTCCAATCAGGAATACAGAACTCTCACTGTAACACTAAAATGCACCACTCATAAATATCTTAAGTGATGGAAACAAATCAAATAAATCCTAAAATAGACAAATCAAACTGCCATGAATCCTTTATGTGCTCTCCGCAAGAATGCGCATCGTACACTGATCCAAACCGTAAACAAATAAAAATCCTTCACGTTAACATCAGGAGCATTAACCAGAATTTTGATGAACTTTGTATCTTCGTAAACATGATAAATATAAAAGTGGCTTATAATATTAACAGAATTCTGGCTTAGTAAAGTTGTTAATGTCCCTGTACTACAAGGCTTTAATTCTCACTGTTCCAATTGGCACAATCAGAACGATGGTGTCATTACGTTTATTAAAGAAGAAATGAAATGCAAAGTATCGATCGTAAATCTAATAGACGCTAGCTGCCTGAAAATCTGTTTTGAAAATGGTTTAGCTATCTTAGATATCTATAGATCTCCTTCTGTTAAAATTATTGATAATTTTCTGAACTCACTAGATAATTTGCTAGTATCTTTAGCGTCATATAAAACTATAACTATCATTGGAGATATTACTATCAATATTCTCTCTGATAAACGTGAGCCCAAACCTGACCCTTAATTGAATCTTCTGGCATCACACGGGCTATTACCCGCACATTTGTTCATCACCCATGAAGATACTTGCCTTGATCACGTTATGATGAAAACCAACCTTAAGATAACAACCATCGTGTCAAATTTCAAATTCACCGATCATAATCCCATCCATACATTTATAGGACAACGTCTACAAACACCATTAATACACAAAACGAATTGGCCAATACGGATTTTTCAATCATCTCTGATACTAAAGATGCTAATCTTGCTGCTGATCTATTAATCTACAAGATTTATACATGCATCAAGCAAAACACCAAGTCTGTCAAAGTCTCATGCAGAAAACGTATATTAAGGCCCTGGATTACACCCGGACTTCTAATGTGCATACAAAACCGTGACAGCTTGCATAGAAAAATGAAAAAGGACCAAACAATAAAGAAGCTAAAGTCATATATCTACGTTATCGCAACTATTGCAATAAATTATTAAAAAAATTAAAATGTCTCCACGAACGCAACGAATTTCAAAAAGCTAAAAATAACCCCAAATCGACTTGGAATGTCATAAAGAGCATAAATCATCTCACCTCCTCATCATCACCCTCTACGGACCTTCTAGATGTAACAAATGATCCTAACGTCTCAATGAAACAGGTTAATGACTTTTTGTAAATATTATTAGACCAAATATATCCTCCAAAATCCTTAAATGTAAACACCCATCAGCTTCACCTATAATCTCTATAAAATCATCTTATAATCCTCTTGGCAACTCCATGATTTTATGAGAGACAGACGAATCAGAAGTTGAGAATATAATTATAAATCTTAAAACAAATAGTGCTACTGGCTATGATGGAATCTCTTCTGCAGTTATTAAGGCTGCCCGAAATACTCTTATTCCTCCTATAACATACGTCTGCAACCATTCTCTTGAGTCAGGTGTCTTTCCAAAAGCCTTTAAGAAAGCTTTGGTACATACAATCTTTAAGAGTGGGGACAGAAGCAGTGTCAATAATTATAGGCCCATATCAGTACTCACTTCCCTCTCGAAAATAATGGAAAAAATTCTTAACACAAGGCTTATTAATTACTTAAACAACATATCAGAAAATCAATACGGCTTTAGAAGTGGCTTATCCACAAAAGACGCTGTTATGGATCTAGTCAACTTAGTAGCTAAAAACATAGACAATAAATTCAAAATAATAGGAACCTTCCTTGACCTGTCTAAAAGCCTTTGACACTGTTTCTATCCCCATCCTACTTCAAAAACTGAATGAAATTGGCATAAGAGGCTTTGGACATCTTTCGAGACTATCTCTCAGAACGCAGACAATGTGTCAAAATAGATTCTTTTCTTAGTGATGATAAATATCTTTCCTATGGAGTCCCTCAAGGCAGTGTGCTAGGACCGACACTGTTTCTGGTTTACATAAACAGTCTTTGTCGCTTGACTATTCCGAATTGCCACATCATCACGTACGCAGATGACACTGTTCTCTTGGCACACGACAAAACCTGGGAGAGTGCTCGATGCAGAATGGAAGAGGCCCTGCGTGTTGTATCAAACTGGCTCTGTGACAATCTGTTGACCTTTAATATTGACAAGACCAAGCATATTACCTTTTCTGCATCAAAGTCAACACAACCTAAACCTGATCCCTCCTACATCAAAATTCACCACTGTGACTCGACAAATGCAAATTGTGGATGCATGGCAATAGAACAGACGGATAACATAAAATATCTGGGAATTATACCCGACAGTACCCTTACCTGGACTCCTCAAATAGATAACATAGCATCCTGGGTTCGAAAAATTATTCCAGTGTTTAAAAAATTGAGGAATGCGGCTGACCCAAAAACCTTGAAACTGGTCTATTTTTGGCTGGCCCAGTCTATTCTGACTTATTGCATTCCTTCTTGGGGTGGGGCGTGCCCCACTCATTTTCTAAAATTGGAGCATGCACAGAGGGCTGTGTTAAAGGTCATAACTAAAAAGCATTACCGTTACCCTACTACCCAACTATATAAAGACTGTGAGGTGCTCACAGCCAGGCAACTCTACATACTTCAAATGGTACTTCGTAGACATCGCTCGCTCTAACTGGAGCACCGCGCACAAAAAGTAAGTCGAAGACTGGAATACCGGGTATATGAGCACCTCCCCCACAGAACCGCTTTAGCTCGCAGACAATACTATGTCCGAAGTAGTCATGTTACAATAGGATTAATAAAGAACTAAATATCCATAAAACTACTGCAAGAAAGTGTAAACAGGAACTGAAGCAGTGGCTGCAGAGGCTTTCATTCGAGGATACAGAAGCGCTTTTACGATCCCCCTATAGAGCTAACTAAATTACATCTCATGATAAAGTCGTAAGATTCATCACACCATTAGTGAGGACTGCTGTCTTTGACACAACCAATCCCAAGATGTTTAAAATAGGGTAGGGTTTATTATGCACACGTTAATACTCTCACACACATACACACATAACACACACACACACACACACACACACACACACACACACACACACACACACACACACACACATTTACAAACTTCTACGTGTACACTCGCAATTCCATCCCTCTCTTTTATACCTTTATACTCTTCTATACTTGTTCTTATGTAATGTCTCCATATGTAACTGATTCAATATTATGTAGTACTAAACAGGGCATTGCTCTAATTATTTCCTATAATGTCCGGTGGAAGGTGCTAGCGTCTGTAATACAGTTTTAATATAAAACTAGTACAGTCGCTAACGATCAACCATATACGAGTAGTATGTTACTAGTATATTGATGCCTGTTATCGTACTTAATATGGAAAATTTTGTTACATGTTTTTCTGAGAATAAAGATTTTATTTATTATTATTACTTGCCGTGTAGTGTAATTGTGTTTAATTTAATTTAGTAGTAATTTGTATTTAGTAGTGATGCCATCGCACAAGCCACCGGCGCTTCGCCTGCAGGCGAAGCTGCACTGGGCCGCGAACGCCCGCACCTTGATAGGGCGACCCAATCGGGTCCATAGTTTAGAGAAGCGGCTCGAGCAGGTCATGGCCCGAAGGGCCGGAGTGGAGGAGGCTTGCACTGAGCTTTTGGCCTCGGATGCGGAACAGGGAGTCCTAGACTCCTGCCTCGCGGACTACGAGCAATTCTTTTCACTCACGGACGACTTGATCGAGGCGGGGGCCAAATATGCTAGTGAAGCGCGTGAAGCTCGGCTGAGTGGCCTGCTCGAGTCCCCTCGGAAGCAGCCTACTCAGCCGGAGCTGTTGGGACGACTCCCAACTCTGGACCTGCCAAGGTTCTCCGGGGTCCTTTCCGACTGGCTGACCTTTGTTAGCTATTTTGATAGCCTATTGGACGCCTATTGGAGGGTCGTTCCCCCAGGGGCGGGGGGTCGTCACCCCCCTCAGCGTGTTGAGAGGAACTTCACGGCCACTCAGCGGTCAGCTAGACCCTTCTCACCCCCGTTAGCTGAGCGGCCGCGACTGGAGTACCACCCTCCCCCCTTTGGTCGGTACCGGTACTACGGGGTTCCTGCGACCTCGAATCTGTCCCGGGCCTCAGGACCGAGGTTCCCTGAAGCTCCCCAGGTCGACCCGTTCAGTTATTTCCAACCCCGGGTCGTTGAAATCCCGCCGGAATGCCGCTTTCGGGAATCCCGGTTCGAGTGCCGGTCCGATGGAGGCAGCCCCAGCCAGCTACCTTCGGCCGTAGTTCCCACCACGGCCGCCTCCACTAATCCTTTGAGCCGTCAATAGTCTACTTGTCAAACTGTTCTATTGCCGACGGCCTCAGTGAAGGTGTACAACCCGAGTGGCGACTCTTTAACGGTTCGCGCTCTATTGGATTCGGGTTCACAAGCTGTGTGGCCTCTACTTGGTTGATGGGAAGTCTAGGGCTCTAAATATCTAACGTTTTATTTGAAGATAAAATAATTAAGTAACTTATTATATTCAACGTTACATGTTAAAAGATTGTTAGTTGAGCTTACTACCGTAGCGAGCGTCGCGAAATCTTGATGCATTAGACCCATATGGTCCAAGCGGAGCATTTTGAGCCCGTGATTTAAATCTTGAAGCGGGGCTCCGTTTTCAAGGGCGCTCTGGCCCGCCTGAACCTCTTCCTGGACGACGCTGGGATGCTGCGCGTTGGCGGGCGTTTGAAAAATTCTCAACTGCCGTACGGGGCTCGACATCCGTTACTGCTAGGGAGCTGTAACGGGTGTCCCTAAGGACGGTGCCTTTGTTCGGTTGCTGGTAACTCACCATCATATTCAGAATACCCACGCTGGTTGTAACGCTCTTTCGGCTATTTTGCAGCGGAAGTTTTGGATTTTGGCTGGCCGACGCACTAGTCGGAGCGTCATTTTTAAGTGCATACCTTGTCATAAACTGAAGGCCACCATATCGCAGCCTATGATGGGTGACTTACCACCCGACCGCGTCAGGGCCATCCGACCATTCGCTGGAGTCGGAACCAACTTTGCTGGCCCCTTCCTCGTCACGTCCTCCAACCTTCGTAACGCGCGTTCACATAAGGCCTATCTCTGCGTTTTGGTGTGCCTCGCCACTAAGGTCGTTCACTTAGAACTTGTAAGTGCCCTCAGCACTGAAGCCTTTGTGGCTACGCTGGGCCGCTTAGTATCGCGTCGCGGTTTGCGGGACCTGATCAAGTCTGATTGCGGAACGAATTATAAGGGCACGGATAAATATTTGAAAGAGGTCGTCGAATTTCTGTCCAGCAACAGGACTT